TTCCCACATCAGTGGCCCGAGCCTGCGCTCTTTGCATCGGAGATGCTTCAGGTTTTCCTTCACCCTCCGTGGGGGTGGTGAGACACTAGGAAAAAAATGCCCAGAGAAGCTGTGGCTGCCCCATCCCTGGAGGTGTCCAAGGCCAGGCTGGATGGGGCTTTGAACGACCTGGTCTGGTGGAAGGTGTCCCTGCCCACGACAGGGGGGTGGGCTTGATGATCTTTAAATCCTTTCCAACCCAAACCGTTCTATGATTCTACCCCAGCAGTGCCCTTCCAGCTGTGAGTACCATCAGCTGCTTAACAAATCATCAAAACTCCCATAAAAACCACCCCAGGATTTATGGCAGGCCCAGCACAGGTACACCCAACTTGGTGTTTCCTGCTGGGTGCCAGTTTGCAGGTGAGGTTCAGGTGGTGGCCCGGTGCAAAGCGTGGCTGTGACTGCACCGTCACTCGCTGGCACTTCTTGTCACACACCAGGCTCAAGGTACCCAACACACCAGGACAGGACTGCTCGGCTCCGCTCCACCTATCCTGAGTTACAGCTCTCTGTCTCCGTTTTACATCCCTGCTAGAAAATCTAAAAATAGATGGTTGGAATCAGTCCTATTGCAATTTCTCAGATCACTATCAAGAATTGGCCTGATCTCTTCCAGTCGTTCCTAAGGCAAGCCCTTAGTTTTACATCCCCATATTTGGCTTTTGTTTTGTTTTTAAGCGGGGAAATCTAGCCCGTGTTTATGTGCTAGAGCAGTAGCTGGAATGATATCTTTACTTCTCACCAGTACTTTACACACATGCTTTTTTAACTAGAGTTTTCCTTAGGATTGTTAATCCCGGAGCAGGAATTTCCTATTGCATTCCTCACAGCGGGAGAGCGAGAGGGAGAGGCTGCTCTTTCTCTAGCAATATCCTTTTCCACCCTTCCTGTTTATATAGCATTTTTGTTTAACAGGACGGGGCCGTCTGACAGTGACTGTGCCCCAGCTATACCTCCCTTGCTCCCTTTCCTTCACCTCCTGGCTTGAGCCGAGGAGCGGGTCAGGAAGGTAGGGCCAGCGCTGGGGCTCTGACATGACACTGCTGCATCCCTGTGGCACCCAGAGCAGCACAGCTCTTCTCCAAGGTGGGACAGGCTGGGGAAAGGACAAGCAGCAGGTTAAAACTTCTCCCTCTGGAAAGGAATAGCAGTGTTTCCGAGACACAAATAGCTTGACGGACCAAAGAGAGGGTCTCAAAATGATGGGTTTTCCAAAGCCTCCCTGGCCAACCTTTAGTGAGCAAGAAAAACAATGGATACTTCAGTGCCCTGTTCCTCTATCTCCATTTATCTGATGGGAAGCTGAGGCCCGTCCAGGTTCACAGCTTTCACCACTACCTCAAGAACAAAAAGGTGATTTTCACCTTTGCTGAGTCCAGGCAACCCGACTTACGAGTCCCCAGGCAGTGGCCCTGAAGTGCAAGAACCACCTGCAAGAACAGAAGTGCAAGATGCGATGTCAGCCTCATTCCCACTGGGGGGGGACGGTTTGGGCACTGATGTCGCTTAGAAGAAGCTGGCTCAGCGCTTTCCCCAGCCCCAGAGAGGAAAGGAAATGAAACCATGAGCCTAAGTGAAGGAGGTGCTTTTCTCAGCGTCTAAACCGAGGACTTTCACCGATCACATTCATGCTGACCACAAAACCTATAACAAAGTGGAGAGGACAGCTGACCCCAGCCCAGTTCTCTACTGACAAGACCGAACCGCTGCATCTCAAGGTGATCAGCGAATACGGGTTGCCCAAACAGTGACAGCCTGAGCCCCAGACAGCGTTTCAGTGCCTGGCTTTCACTGGTATCCCACTGCAATGCGAGAATCCTGTGCTCCCACAAAGCACATACTTTGAGTTTTCCAGTGCATTCCTGGGTATGGTGACAAGGATCTGGAAAGAAAACATCCCGTGTTAGCCGTGATCCTTCCGACCAGGAAAACACAACCTGAATTCTGTTCTCCTGAATGCAGAAGGAGCTCAGATGGAGTCTCAGGTACTTTCGAGGACTGCTCGCTTTCAGTTGCTCTGGCTCACCTTGGGTATTTCCAGAAGATATTCCAGAAACAATTTTCTGGTAGATCTGCATTCTACCCTAGATTTTTGCAGGACAAATGATCTAAGAAACTGTATGGTACAAAAAGTAAATGCCAAAAACCCCAGAAAAAGTATCTACCATTAAAAGTACCTAACCGATGGGAAAAACAACTATATACATGTTCTCAATATGTAAAATACAATTTATTGTATTTAGGCCATTCGTAAGTATCAACACAATGTAGTATGTTTGAAACAAACATCTTACCAATAAATACTATCTAAACATTAATATTAATCTTTTGATCAAACATGTACAGTGTATTGACTCAGTATTGCACAGTGAGCTCTATACGACGTTTCCATAGTGCATTTGGTTTGTTACCAGGATAGATTACCACAAATATTGCAAAGCATCAGAGTTGACTTTTCCAAGTGAAAACAGCTGAACTATTTCATTAGAGACTGAAGGCTGATACAAATGTCAGCGTCCTAAGTTAATCGGTTATGGATTCATGGAACCTAATGTTTTCATGGCTGAGGAGACTTTGTTCCTAATACAATTTTTATAGAATTGTAAAAAAAAAAAAAAAAAAAAAGCCACTTTGAAACAGAACGAGGATATTATCATCAAACTTATGTGAACAGCCAACTCCAGTGATCAGTGAGCTCGTGATCAAGCTCACTCCAGTGAGCTTGTTTTCTCTTGTTTCAATCTAAATATAAATCTTTGATCTTCTCAGCGATGTATCTCCCCACGTGCATTTCAAAGGCCAGACCCTGCAAGCCCCCAGCATTACTCCAGCACTTTGCTCCCTACGTGCCTCTGCTCAGGCCAGACTTGGTACCTGTCAGTATGAGCAGAGGTCAAAACACTCTAGTCTCAATAGTTTTCAATGTATAAATGCAGATATAATTTCCCTATAGTTCTATAATTAACTGTAGCTCAGCTTTATCTGGTCAAATCTTAATTCTACAGCATCAGCTCCACCCAGGAGTAGTCCTGCCAGTTTGTATTGCATTACCGCGCTGACACGGAGGGCTGGGTGCTGCCGGCAATGGCCCGGCTGTGCTGCTTCCCTGAAACCCAGCGGCTCCTGGATCAGACGGGCTCGTGGGCTCCAGTGAGCACCGCATCAAAAGCTGACAGGACTGCGGCTCACAGCAGGTTTTCAACAGCTCACTGTTGTTCACTCTCAAGTCCAACTACAACAGAACTACGTCCACGCCAGTGGGAGATGACTATTAGAGTAAGGACCATACGATTTGGCTCGTCAGGTTTGACCCGCATTTGCATGAACATACGCTGCAGAAGGAGCTTAAAATGAGCATATTCTGCCTTAGTAGACATTTAAGCTACAATGCCCTGCCAAAGTGGTATGAACTGCTCAAAATGCAAATAAGAATCATGACCATAGAATGACTGTGACTGACTTGGAAAAGATTTGACCATCAGTATAACGGTGCTTAGTGCTTAGTGTGTAGTATCCCTTAGTGCTTAGCATGTAGTATTCCTTTAAGTAAAAGAAAATTCACTCACCAAGTGATACAATTAAAAATTTCTAAGAAACTACTGGTTAAGTACTACCTCATGATTATGTAAATCATGTTTATATCCCTCATCTTTGCAGTTTATCATTTTGTATATAGATTTTTTATATTCAGGTAACAGAGGTGAAATACTTATTTATATCTAAAAAGACGGTAGGAAAAAACAGGGATTGAAAGGATTCCTTTTTTGTACAAAAAATACATTTTTATGACAACAGCCAGTACCTTCACAGTAGGGTCTTTGCTCCTCTACTTACTACCAAGGTTCAGTCATCCATAACGCCATCATGAAGTATCAGAATTTTTTTTTTTCCGCTTTCCAACACCAAAATTCAATGCACTGCAATGGAATGTTTCCAGAGTCATGCTACATCCTGATAAAATCAGGAATCGCTTTTTCTTTTTTTTTTTTTTTTTTTGAACTTCAAAAAGGAACTCAATTCATGCAAATAAATACATAATGCGCACTGAAATACTCAATTCTATGATACAGGTGACTTCAGAGAAAAGTCCCTTTATAATTATTTAAACTAGTTCTAATAAAAGAAGATAGTTTCAAAACAGAATTAAAAACATTTCATTTTACTACAAGTTGATGTTTGCTATGTGTTCAAGCAGATTACATTTTCTACCTAGTTGTGTTAACGTGTGGGTTCAGTGTCACTTTTTTGCAGTGTAGCAAATATTTGATTTTGAGGGGTGGCTTTTTTATGCAGTTGTTGTAGCTCAGGGTATCAGTCTTCATTTGATTCTGTGTACAGGTTAAGCCCAGATCTGCAGAGAGAGAGTTGAACAATTGTTTATGACATTAACTATGCTATCAAAGGTTTAATTAAAATTTGGCAAAGCACTCAGATTAGCGGTAGAGTGTATCAGCAGCAATGATATTAGTTAACCCATAAGTTCAAAATTCCTGTAACAGTTGGGCTAGCACTTTGTGGGGATTTTTTTTATTTGAATTTTCTGTTCATGCTTTACACTGTGGTTTTATATCCTTGTTTGTCCCTCTAGAGTCAATTGTCCTGTAACAACCCTTCCCCCTCGCCCCTTTTTTTAAACAATTAAAGAAAGAAAGAGAGCAGCACCCGAGGCAGGTGCTCCCAGCACTTACTCTGAGAGTGTGGTCCCAGGAGCCCGAGCAGAACGCCGTCCCATCGGGAGAGACCCGCAAGGTGCTGACACGATTTTCATGTCCAAACAGAATGGATACACGGGACCCTTTCAGCACATCCCAGACATTTATGGTGTAATCGTTATAGCCTGCAAACAGTAGGCGACCTGCAAAGAGAATGAGATTTTACAAAGTGAGAACTTAAGTAGGTACCATGTCTTGACTGCAGCAAAGGCCTTCTGCAGGAGATTCCTCACCCAGGGTCCTGGTGTGAGCCACAACCCACCTTTCCCGTGCCACCTTCTGCATGCAGCCCACCCTGACCACTGCTTCCCCTGGGCTAGCTGTGCTCCTGTTAGACTCCCCTGCTCCACTGCTGAGCTATCCATGCTAAATGCTGAACCCATTAAAATGTACTAGTCAAAAATATAGTTAAGATGGAGTTAAATTATATGGTATCTGTTCAGTCATTAGAGATGGGGGATGACTCCAAATCACGACAGACTGAAGAGCACTTCAACAGCTAATGCAGGGTAATAATATTTTGTTCAGACCTTACGCAATAAGTTGAATACAAATTGTTGAATGATTAGTAGACAATTTGGTAAGTGATTCATTGTCCCCAACGGGACAAGATGTGGTGCTTGTGACCACGACAGAGACCTTTGCCCGTCTGTCCTGAGCAGAGGGCAGTTCACGACCCACTCATCCCCACGCAGAGTGACTGGAGGACACCTGGAGTGACATTTGGGCTGGGGTGGGAGAGAGTAGACTCGAGCTCATGTCTCCCGACCTGTAGTGAGAAATATCTCTGTCTTCATGCTCCTCTAACATACTTTTCCTATCTATTAATCATTTATTATCCTTTTATAAACTATTTATGTTAGTGCGCTTAATAGTCTAGTTACATTTCATGTTTCCTTTGAAATGTTTTTAATCATTATTGTGAAATTCTAGACCAGCTGTAGTTAATGGCAAAATATTTCCTGCCTTCAGTAGGGCCAGGAAAATACTTTTCATTGCTGCAACGAAGCAATAGCTAGCTAGGTTATTTAAAGAGTAATTATTGAAGTGTTCAAGACCAGGCTGGATGGGGCTTGGAGCATCCTGGTCTAGTGGAAGGTGTCCCTGCCCATGGCAGGGGGGGTGGAACTCGATGATCCTTAAGGTCCCTTCCAACCTAAACCATTCTATGATTCTATGATTCTATGATTTTTACAGATCAAAAAAGGATTCCATGCATTAAATGTTTCTTTTGGTACTTAGTATTACTTTCAATAACTTTTAATAACAAATGCATTATCAAAGTAAACTGACAAAATTTTACAGTTCCCTTCAAATTCCATCACTAAGACAACCTCCAAAGTTCAAGTCTCACCACTGAGAGAGAAGTCCACACTGGATGCTCCAAAAATGATGCTCTCTTTGGAATAAATTGCGACTTCTCTGTCTGCACGAAGGTCATATAAACGACACTAGGATTAAAACAAAAGCAACACACTTGTCTCAGTAAAGGCTGGAGTAAATGGCTACTACATTTCATTGAAACAATGGGAGTGGGAAGGACTGCAGCCTAACGGGCATCACGGGGAGCGGCTGCTTGGCTTCTTTCCTTCTGCTATTTCTGCCCGCTGTAACTGGGACTCCTCTGAAGTCTAACAGGGATCTCAGCAACACAAGGCTGTTTTGTATAAACTGAGAGAAGAACTTGCTTTTCCAAACAACTTCTCTAAGCCTCCTGCCTGTCCTGCTATAAAGAGGTGAGTGGTGGGCTTTGGACTGCGGCTACCCCCTGAAAATCTCCTGACCCTCTTGCTTCCTCACTGTGGTTTCCTACATATTAGGTCATTCTGCTGCTGGGGAGGTACATGGGGAGACAGTCTCTAAAGGCAACAGTTTAGCCACAGCTGGAGTCTGGGAGACAGAGGATTAAATCTCTGGTCATCTTTGAGAACATGGACTACATGGCATGGTGCTCAGACAGCCCCTTGGCATGGGGAAGCCTAGGTGGCAGTCCTCGCTCTGAGTAAGGTGGAACAGCAAACAGCCCCTGGCCTGCCGTGAGGCCCCTGTCTGAAAAACCCACACGAAAATAATTCAAGTGAAATAATACATTTCCATACAGATCTTTGGTTTTCGTTTCTCACGGAAAATCCCCAATCACCTCCATGACCCGCGCTTCCTGTTTTTATCATTTGCCAGTGTAGTTAGGCTTGTTTAACATGGAAATAATGTATAGACAGAGCAGACTTCATTGCCATGCAGAAGGGCGGTGTGTTAGCCCTGAAATCAAAATGCACTTTTGAAACTACTTGAACTGAAAACCTTCCTCAATAAGTTAAGTTTAAGCAAACACTGGCCAGATGGGTTTGCTACTATTAAGACTTTACTAATGAGAAATGGCTGGTATTCAAGCCCGCACATAAAGGAGAGGCTGTTTCATTTGCAGGGCGGTGGGGAGCTGCGAGGTACGTGAAGTCCAGGTCTCCCAGAGCTGAATGAATAATTCTGATGAATAACACTGATGAATAATTCCATCAGACTGTCCTGATAGGGAGTTGGGGTCACCGCAGGTGACAGCACTGCCTTGTGAGCGTGCTTTTATGGCTTTCCTCCAGACAGTCAGGATTATCTGCTCCTTGAAATCCCTAAGTATATAAATCAGGTCAAGGATACCAGTCAGTGTACCAGTCTGTAAGGCTGAAAACACCAACCACTTCGTTTAAAGAATGAAGTAGATGGAAACTGCCAAAAACCTCTGTGAAAAGTACAGAGATGGAATTTCCCATTCTCCTGCTCAAGTCAGGGGTGTCAGAAATAGTTAAGAGAGAAAAACCCCATCAAATAAATTAGTAAGCACAGGAGCCCAGAGCCTGTGCTACTAGGCATAAAAAGAGAGTGCTCTCATTGGAATTTAATGATGGACAATTTCTCCATCTTACTTCCTCAGATTCGCAGGTGCTCACAGTGCAGCATCCGAATGTGTGGAGAGGCATTGGGCTCACCAGAGCTAAAGGTATTAATTTATAATCACAGCTTTTAAGACCTAAAAGCAGCATACGCTCTCTCCAGAATAGCCTTGGAAGGCCTCCACATCCAGTGAAGACAAAGGGAATGTTTCTATTGAGTTTAGCTAGTATTGGAGCAGACTCAAAATACGCTCTGAGGGCAAAGCACTTTAGAAAAAGTCTTCACCCTCAGGTAGCTGGGAGTGATGTTTGAATAAACAGGAGAAACAAGGTGCTAGGTGCCTCCCAAATATCTGCTCTCTTAACTTAACTACCAGCTCAGTCCTTGCAGGGCTGTGGTACAGGCAAAGCCTGGTCCCCCATGGGGACCCACCAGCTGCAGCAAGAGCCACCAGCATCGCTCAGCGGCCCAAAGGCACCAGGACGTTCAATGGCACTTTGCATACAATGTGCTGACCAAAATTACATGTCAATACATACTGTGCCCCTCCTATCAGCTTGCTCATAGGGAAGATCCAGTAAGAGATATTGTATCATCTAGGATGACCTGGATGCGGTGACTCACCGCAGTGAAGAGCGTTGGCCCTGAGTCAGGGTGACAGGGAGGAGATGTACACGGCCAAGGCCACCCTGGGGCTGCACTCTCAGGATGCACGGGGCTGCGGAGGCCAGCTGACCAGGGCTGACCAGCTCCGCGCTCAGCCCACAGCTCCTCTGCTTGCCGGGAGGTGCGCATTCATGTGCGGGCTCCCTTCATGCTGTGCTGCTCCTTCTGACACAAGCTGCAGCATTTCGTCTGGTTCCTCCCATGTTGCGACCGACAACTATATGAAGCCAACTCTCTTCCAGTAAGACAGTAATTTTGATCATGACACTTCAAAACATAGAAAATCTCAAATGAATATTTGGCCAGTACCTCATGTAGAAAAGTTTGCAGAGGTGACCTACAAAGCGTTTCTAGATTTTCCCTATAGCATTATATACAGTATTTAGTATATATTATATTATAGCATCATTATTATTTCTGCAACTTTGGTGTCACAGGCCCAGTTTAGTCACTTAAAGTCCTCTGTGGATGTGACCTAGTCTTTTAGGAAAACCTGACTTGGGAAGTAACAGAACTTCCTTCAATTAGGTTGCTGAATTAACATACCGTGGCATCGTCTGAACCAGAGGCAAAAGCATCTCCACTTGGGTAGTATCTGTGCATGAGTAAAAAAAGACCAGAAGACATTACATTACTTGGATGAGGTCAGACTTCAAAAATAGAACCAGCGCATTGCTCAACATCGCAAATGTGTCCTCTCCCAGAAACATACTGACCTGACACTGTTGATATCTGAATCATGGGTTTCAAATGACTGGATGCACTGACCAGACCGCATATCCCAAACCATGGCTTTCTTGTCACATCCCTAATAAGACAAAAAAATTCACTGTGCAAATGGTGACATTCACCCCTCACGTGCCTGATACACGTCACCAAGCCCAGCTACATTCAAAGGCTCTGAACATCGTAGCTCTGAGGGGATTTAACCAGCAAAGCAGCCCCAGAACTGGCTGTACTGGTACCCCCAAGCCTGCTGTGGTCACAGTTAGGAGCGGAGTACGCCACGAACGCTGGAGCTTCGGCAGTGCCGCAGACCAGCACAGGGTGCAGACAGGCCGGGGGTGTTTGCACAGGGGGTCCCATGCTAACCAGCACTCACAGCCCTGCTCTGCCTGTGCTGCCGCTGTACCAGTGCCTGCAGACCCACCGTGCCACAGCACTGCATAACTGACTCACTCTCTTACCACTTAACATGCTCAATATAAAACATTAATACCCAGCATTTAATGTTTTATAACTCATTCTTTTCACACACTGAAATAGAAAGCGGAATAAGTGCATCCGGAGGGTCTCTTGCCCAGCCTCCTACCAGAGTTAACCCCTGCACCCACGTGCTCGATGGCGTGGTTGGGATGAGAAAAGCAGTGTAACAGCATTTCACCTCATTCTCAAGCTCTAACCTGCCCTTCCAAGCCACGCTTTGGAAAGCTCATTTAACACTCGATGCTTGCCACCGGGTGCTCAGCACCCCCAATGCTTTGGGCTGTAGGCTGCAACATCCTCGGGGCAGGAACCATCTCATACCCGTAGGGCACACTCTCAGCTGGGATGTCTCACTGCTGTTGCAATCACGGTGACAGGAAAAAGAACACAGACTTTTCTTTTAGGAGTGATGGGAGATTTGAATCAATATGACCCTGCTGAGGGGCAGGCTGTAGGTAGGCTCAGCTCCGGGGGGCTCAGCCTCTCTGAGGCTGTGTGGGAAGCAGAGGGCAGGCCAGGCGGCTGCTGCTTCTGCCGAGCTAGCGCATCCTGCCCAGCAGAACATGCCACACATGTTATTTTTAAGCAAACATGATTGCTAATTAAATTAAACAGTGTCTTCACAATTCACATCTTTCTCTCTTTTTTTTTTTTTTTTAATTCTCTTGTTAAAATGAAATCCCAGTTTTCTTACTAATGATGTCATTATTTAAAAGAGGTAATGTTCCTTTGTAACAACTTGTGGTTTCTGCACAGGGGAAACCAAACAGGATAGAGAACATTTTGGACTCAGCATATTTCCCTCTCAAGCCCCGCCACAGCCCAAGCCCAGCCCTTCATATTGCTTCCATGTGCACTGTTCTTACCGACCTCTCTGGGAGTTTGGGGGCAAGACCAATCTGACAAGCTGGTGCTTTGACTCCTAAGGTTTTGAAGGAGAAACCAGCAACCACCTGCAGAGAGACGGGCCCCCTAAGAGCTATCCCACTCGCCCCGAGAAGCAGCGGTCAGAGAGGACAGAGCACAACAGCCCAGGATACAGCCCTGAGCTCACCCAGGAGGGCCGGGATTTTCAGTGAAGTTGTTAAATGTAACAGCACCCAGTCTATACACTGATGTACTGGCATTGCTTATTCCAGCTCAGCGTAACTGTATTGTGTAGGCGCACTACACAAGGAGTCTCTCTATGCCACCATACCTTCGGGTTGCACTGTTTTGGCTATACCTGCACCGACACAATATAAGACAGAACTTCACTGAAGTGGTATTTTGCATGTGATCAATTAAGCGAGTCCCTGTAAGCACGGACATGCCCAAGCTGCTATATTGACACAAGTATGACATATTCTCTTAGCAGTCCCATAGCTGCTTGCGATTCTTTGCCCTATAATAAGCTGAGCTGTTCCCAGGGAGAACGAATCTATCCTTTCTGGGAAGCAAGCTCGGTGACAGAAAAGCCCGGGAGGAGTAATGCACTTGGATGGAATTAGCTTTCAGTCACGCTTTGGAGCAGCTGTGCTAGCAGCAGGCAAACTGGGCCAGTGTGCTGGGCTCTGCTCCTGATGGGCCAGCCAAATTTGTTAATAGAGCCATAACAGAAGAGGTCCAGGTTTAATGTTTAGGGATGGGACCATGACTCCAAGCACAACAAGTGGAATCTCCTAATCCATGGTCAGCACCCTCTGGCACAAAGGCCATTTCCATCAGCAAGCACAGGACCAGCCCCAGACCTGGTGGGCTCCAAAACCAGGTACCTTCAGCAAAGTTACTGGTAGCAACCTGCCTCCAGTAAGAGAGGTCATCTCTCAGCTGCACATTCAGTTTGCTGATGTGAGAAAGACCAGGACCACCTCAAAAAGGAGCTGAGCCCCATCCCACTCACCTTTATGCCTTGCCTGCCTCGCTGCCAGACTGCATGCCAATGGCCCGGCTGCCCAGGAACAGCAGCAGGACAAGATTTGGAAGATGCCCTGGGTACTTTCCCAGACCAGTCCCAACAAGGTTTGTGTGTTCCTCTGGGCCAGGACAGGGAGCGGGCAGCGTTCAACTGACGAAGAGACTTTAAATGCCTCTGGTACCACTGAAAGGCACAGGGGACTCAGCAACAGCTGAAGATGTGGCCACACCTCATCTCCCTGCTCCAACTTGTACAAGGGTTTAGCCAGCGCCCAAGCTACCCCTTGGCTTCTGGGGAGCGGTTGAGGGACATAGTGGCACGCACGTTATTTGCAGCCCCACTTCGATGCCCTGAGCAAGCGCGTGGCACACCCTGTCCAGCTCCAGAGAGATGGGCAGGAGAAAGGAGCCAAATGCAGGAGGTCGTCTGCTGTGCCAGGCTGCTATCCACGGGGGCTCACACCTCTGCTGCGGTACGAGCCTGCTGCTCTAACTCTGAGCCTTTCCCTTCCCAGGAGAGGCGTTGTTTTGATCTTGAGCTGGATTGCTTTGGTGTGGGGTGGAATTTGCCAAGTAAGCAGAACTGCAGTCAGACTGGCTGGGTGGGTTTGACCCCACAGTCAGAGGTTTAATTTGCTCCAGCTTGGAAAATGTGCTTGCAATGAGTGGATTGCACTGGGGCTTCCAACACATACTCCAGCACTCTCTCAGTATGATCACGAGTCTCCTGCTTTGCTGCCTTTTCCCTTCCACATTCCTTAATTTTATATTATGATAGGAAGCTCCTGCTTACCCCAGAGACAAATGTATTTCCCGTTTCAGACGGGGCCAGGTCCAGGCACAGGACATCCGCTCCATGACCATGGAAACTCTGTAGAAGCTGCCCGCTCTCAACATCCCACAGAGCACAAGTTCCATCTCCACTTGCTGTCAGGATCTACAGGATGTGGCAAGGAGAGTCACAATACAAAAATCAGCAGATGATCTTCAGGTTCACAAAGATACAACTGACATCCCATACATACACCAAGGACAGCTTTAATGTAATGAAATATTATGCAATAAATCAAAGCCATAAAAACAATGTGAATCTAAGCAAAGTTTATGTCTTTTATTTTTAAGGAAAGAAGTTAGAGTGGAAAGGAGAGCTGTATTGACACAGCCATACCTACATCGTGTTTCAATAATGGTCAGTTTTGTGCAGTGGGGTTTGAAGAACTGATGGCAGTAAGGATCTGCTGGCATTTCCATATCCTCCAAAAAGGAGGTAGAACCAGACTGGTATTCCTGTCTGCCCCTGTATTTAACCCTATCCATATTTAGGCTGCTGGAATTCAACCCAGTAAAGAGAAGAACTGTTGGAGTTAAGTATACCTGTTTAACACTCTAATATTTATTTTTTTTTTCCTGCTTGAAATAGCCAGGTTAAACCCAATTAATTGGGCTTAAAGACATGGATTTTCTGAAAGGGAAGTAAGCCTGTCTAGACAGTTGTTTGGTAAGTCCATCACCTCTCACTTGTCCAAACCCACTTGTGTGTGAAAGGGCTTGAACATACACTGACGGAACACAGCTCACAGCCTCCCTCATCTGCTACAGTGCTTGTAGAAAGCACATGTGATCAGCGCTTGTTATTGTGGCTAAATCCTGATGGTGCTCAATTGTTCAAAATTTCCCCTTGGCACCCAAAGCTGTTATGCAGTCACAAATTCTGTAGGTTGAAAGGGTCCCTGTGCACCAGCGTGGAAGGAGGCAAGGGTGAACTCAGGAGGGCTCTCAGTCTTGTACACAGGTTTTTCTCATGGCCAGTGAGGAAACTCAAGGGATCCCAGTGGGCAGTTAAAAGTTAAAAAGAAAATACTCTTCACAAAGAAAACGATCGCACAGTCATGAAACCTTCACAGAGTTGCATAAAGGTTAAACACTGAACATGTTTGACAGATGCTCCAAAAACTCCTCCCATAAACAGAGCTCTGCAAAGCTGCAGAACAGACTGTTCCAAATCCTGCAGTAGAGAGACGCTAATACTCTGAGATGATAATAGCAGAAGAAAGTCCTGACTTGTCTTTCTGGCCAGCTTTTGAGCCTAGATCAATGAACTTCTCTGTTCTGAGGAATATTTGTACTTGGCCGAGGAATGAAGACTTTCAGCTCTGAGGATTTGCTCTTGTAATAGCGTGTAAGAAAGATATGAGGGGAATAGGAGTAGCTAAAGATGTAAGGGAAGGGTCTGTTGGCAACCCAGGGCTGCAGCTAACACTTACAGAGAAATGTTATGGACTCAGCTTCAGGGTATTTCTATTGAAAACCACACCAAACCAACCCCAAAAATGCAAAACCAGAAGGGAATTAACAGTCTTTGCTACTAGACTCTGGCTCGCTGCATGAGGGGCTCCAGCATCGCTGGATAGGGGTCCTCGCCTGGCGGCAAGAGGCAGCACTCGCACAGGGCAGGGGACAGCAGGGACACAGTCCCTGCTTGCCAGGAGCACCGGGGCCACCCTCACCTCTGCCTCCTCTGCCATGGCCACACGCCCCATCCTGCTTCTCAGCCCTTCTGCACTGCGAGTACGGCTGCCTGCCCTATGCAAAACACTTGAGATCCCAATTAACTGTTGCTATTAATACACATGGAGCATTGTCACGTGGGCAGCATTATCACACCGCAGAGCTGCAGATACCTAATTTAGGAAGCAAGGCTCCCCGGCGCTCTGCGCACTGAGGCGGGGGAGGCTCTCTCTGGCAAGACTGATGTGGGGCACCAAGGAGGTGGTGCGTGGGTTGCCCAGCCCTGCAGCTCAGAGCTTCTCTTGGCCCAGAGTGGGAACATGATGAGGAACACGGATGGGACCCCCTCTTTCAGCACCCACACAGCCTGAGAGTGGCTTTAATCAACGATGAACCACCCCCACATCTCCTCTCTTTCCATTGCACTGGCCAGATGCCGATGGGCACACCAACTCCTGAACTCCTACCCTGTCTTTCATTCCTCCGAGGGAAAACAGAGCTGTATTTTAAGTGAGCGGCCAAGGAAGAGCAGCAGCATTCACAGCACTGAGCAATGGGTGCTGCAGGGGCACCAGGCTGGGGGACACTTCCGCCACGTGCCCGGGCTGCTCCAGGACAGGTACCACATCCCTTGGTGACACCAGCCAGGAGAGCAGAGCTGCTCCGCACACACCCGGGAAAGCTTCTGCACAGAGTGCCTGTTGCACTGTGCACCCTCAGTTACTGAATAATTTTAATTCTGAGGCCATTATGTAAAAGGAAAAATACAAGAAATCTGGGATTCTCTAGGATCCCCTACATAACAGTGTCCTAACAGAAGCTTGGCCAATCCACTTGCTTGTATTTGTTTCAACGATAACATGCGGTGCTATAAATGATCACTTATAAGCCTACCATCACAAGAACATTTCTTCTGAATCACTGAATATAAAGCACCTAAATCGACCATGGTATTATTTAGCAATAGTAATACATTGCCTGCAATATCAATGCAATTTGTTGTATTTGATATGGAGAAAAAAGACCCAACCTTCCTTTCTTTTTTTATTATGAAAAATAAATAACTATTTTTCCTTTCATAGGATTTAATCATGAGGCATATAGATATGGAAAAGAAAAGAGAATACTGGTTTTCTATCTCATCAAAAACATTCCACTTAATTTAGAGTGCTCTAATTACACAAGGCTCCTGCACAGTAGGGTCATGGCTGAGCAAGCCTGAGCGCTGGGTACCTCCACCGCTTGTTTCCATGGCAATGGACTTAAATTAGCACCTCGGAGTCATTACAGAAACCATAGAACGACAAACAACAACATACTCTTGGGCATCTCATGTCCTGAAATAGAAGCAATGAGAGCTGGTATTTCCTTCAGAAGAGCTCCAAATATCTGGAAGAAGAGGACAAGGTATTGCCTTTCCAGCAGCTCTGCTGAGACAGAGCGCAGTGAAAGTGCTCCCTTCAGCCACTTATTTTGCTGCAGAGCTGCACTGAGCAAAGCTTCAATCGAATTCAAAAACCAGAGAGGACAAGGGGATTATCCTGGCTCCTTTCATCATCTTTCATGTTCCTGGAGAAAGAGATCTTTGAGATATTCACTACAGACGAAGGCTGGCCTGGTCTCAGAAGATCTGCATTTAGTTCCTGGCTTTGCCGTCGCCTCCCACTGTGCTCCAACCCCCCCGGCTGCGAGATGGGGATAGCATCACTCCTTTCCCTTGATGGAACACATCACTGCAAGCACGGACAACAGGGCTGGCCCTGTGGGGCCGTCCTCAAGCTCAAATATCTCACTTGGGACAAACACAAAATACTAAGAATGAAAGCAAAAGCAAAGGTGGCTGGACATCCAGGACAAAGCAGGCAAACAACACAGTCTCCATCGGCTGGCATAGCACATAGCCAACCTAGTCCCAGCTGAACTGGGTTTTTAACTATTTGTGTTAGTTTGAGCTCCTAAAAGCAGAAGCCAGCACAGTCCCAGTGAGCAGAGAACACACAGGTACCAGCGAGCTCCCTCTGCAGAAGCGACAAGCTTTTGCAGGACACAGGCATGACAGCCCGGCCATGGGTTGTGACAAGCATTTCCTTACAGCAGCTTTTGCAGCACCTTCATTGCCCCCAGCGAGGGTTTTCCAGTGGCCCCTGCACAGGGCAGGACATAGCCCTGGGTCCCCCAGGTGCAAGGAAGGTTACTTACACTGCGAACGAACGCAGCTCATGTTAGGTGTTGCTGGAGGGTGAGCAGCGGGTAGGGAATGCATTTACCTGCATGTCTGAGTTAGTGAAGCTGCAGGCAGACAAGTAGTTTGTGTGCATTGCAACCGATTTCTTCTTTGCAGCCATATTTTCATTTTTGTCAAATGTCAGAGGGTACACAGAACACTTGTTGTCCAGGCCACTAAAGAGAGTAATAATAGCAATAACAGAGAGAGGAGAACTGGTTAAAACTGCAACGACAAAAGGCGAGTGGTGATAAGAAGGAAACCACCTGTCAGTGCGGCGCTGCCAACCCTTACAAGTACCGACTTCCCTGTATTGTGCTGTACGGGATCTCCCCGTGCAGGGAAGCCCCAGCTGCCTCACCAGCCTGGCTGCTTTACAGAACTTGAACAGCTGCGCCTCAGTATTTCTTACCCTCATCGAGTTTATAAATGGCACTGAATGAAACCTCACGAAAGTATAAACTGGGAGGTGACACAGCAGTCACCTCAGGGTTAATGTTTCACAAACAGTCAAACTGCCATATTTCTGTTGACATCTGCCTTTGCCAGGATCAGTATTTAAGCATCATTATTTATCGACCTTTATAAATTTGACTTAACTCCTATGGAAGAAGAGTCTTTATAGCAAGTAGCGGGTGTGCAGACAGGGCTTTTAGAAGAGTCTGGAAGAAAGTCAACAGAACCTCTGTAGCTGGTGTGCCCCTCCTGGACAGTTACACCAGTTAAGCTGTGTCTCACAGGCCAGATATGAGACTCTTTTCTAAAGGGTCTGATTGGTGTCTGACCCTTTTCCAGAGCCATGGGAGGTCAGCCCTGCCCTGGTCCCTGGGATCCCAGCACACCACCGGGTGCTGGTTCTGTGCTTTAACTTAACTGACAGCACAACAGAAATACAGAATTAGGTAATGTAATGCATATATACCCTCCCTGTCTCTCTTGCAAGTGTGAAAACAGAGCTTTCTTGCCATTCTTTGAGTTTTAGTCAAAAAAATACAGTTTCCGGACTCCCTCTCGCCACACATTTATGGAGTCTGCCTGTCTGTCTCAGTGTGCTGCTTTCTAGATTTGCAAGCTGCACAGTGAACTCTCCCTTTGTTCCTTTCTCTCGCCCCAAGCTTGCTTTGTCTGTCTGATCCACCCAGTCCCTTTTTAAAAGATGTTTTGCCAACATCTCATCTCTTTGTTGCATAAACTCAATTTTTTCAAACCTGAGCCCTCAGAAAACTTGGAGAAGACTATCAAGGATGGGGTTACTTCTCCCCACCCCATCTTGGCAAGTTCTATTCACGTGCTAGCAGTCATTAATGACTAACCTTCTGTACGACATAGAAGAAACAGCACAAAGTAAGAACAGGGTTAAAACCACTCTCCCTTAGAAGATACATTCAACACACAACCCAACTGGAACAGGGAACTTGCATGCATGTAGAATTCCTAACCCATGATATAAATGCTGAAAGAGGATTATTTTCCATGCTTACACAACAAATGTTATTGCACTGAAGTCAGTGGAGATAATGCGTACGAGCCATTATGGGAACAGAATCAGGGGCACTGAATGTAGTCCTTCCACCCACAATCAAGGCACGCGAATTTCTAACTGTCAGCATCTGAAGGCATCAGGACAGCACTACAAATCAAGCTCCTCCATGTAAGTGGAAACTAGGAACTTACCCACAAGCAATGGCACATCCAGATGGGGCATATGCACACGCCATCACCCAGGTACACGGCATCGTCACTGCATGTTCCTGAAACACAGCATCTCCTTAAACTGGGATGTCACTGTTTCTCTAATTGATGCAAGGAAAACAGTGTAGAGTAGTAAGTTCAGTATTTCTGTGGGACATCTGGAGGGTCAGTGAAAGGTACAGGTGTTTTCCCCAGCCATAGCTCAGATGTAAGGCTGGGACAACCCCTACTGCAGAACCCAGCAGAGCAGCAGGACGATGGCTAGTCCCTCCCTGACACTTTCCACCTTATTCATGAGCGCCAAACTGATCACAGAGCATGTTTTATTTGGGTTATTCAGTGCTGTAAAAGGTCCCCACTGCTGCCTGTGTAAAAGTGAGTTACAAACAAGCTGTTTTTTCTCATGTGTGGAGGAGGGTGCCATGAGGCAGCCCTGGCGGGGCTTGGAGGAGCAGTGGCACCATTTTACATTGAACATGGTGAAGGATCGCATACGCCACCTGGTACAGGGGATACCCAGGGAGGGCCTCTATTTTGCTGGCTGGGCTTTGCCCTCAGCCGGGAGCCCACCCAGTCAGTGAAGAGGCTGGATCCTGCTGGAGACCATGGCAAACCCCAGTGCCCTGACAGAAGCTTCGCTCAGAGATAGGTCTAGGGAGGTGGTTTGCCCTGGGCCCCTTGGTTTGAGGTGCTGGCAGAGGTTTGCATGTCATTCCATCATCCCGCTGCCTCGTGACACCTGTGTGCCCTACAGCCCTCCATCGTATCCCACCGTATTTGCCCTGCACACAGAAATCTGACTTTTGCTGCCGTTTCACTTACCTTGTTGGTAGTGAAGGAATCCCACACGATCACCTTCCCATCCTAAATGAAAGCACACAAAAAGAGAGAGAAACTGAGGCCTTCCAGAGACATGGCTGTCAGCCTACTTCCCAGATGTGGGGAAAACTCTGCTGCTTGTTTCCAACCCCCGGTCTGCCATGTCATTAAATTTTTGTCTCCATTTTATCAACAGCACAATGGTCACACTGAAGCACCGAGGGGACACTCCTCAGTCATGTGAGTTTGTCTCTGACCAGAAGAAAAGCATGTCTCCTCCTCACTGAGAGGATTGATGTCAGCTTAAAAGACCATTTTGGGTTTTTTTTTTTCCCTTTTAGCAGGTTTCTGAGAACACCTCTCACTTGCAGCACATGCCACGGACAGGACCGTCTCCTCAGGAAACTGCCCGAGCTCTCACTTGCCTCCTTTCGGCCACGGTATGTTTCTCCCAGCCTGCAATCACCACTTGCAAACAGGTCACCTCTCCCAAGTGATACCTATCAGTGGCTCAGTACGGGGCCTTACAAAATACAAGAGGCAAACTGTATCACAAATCACTTGCTGAGCTGGCACCACTCATGGGGACTACTTATGGAAAGTGCACTGTTTATTCATCTTCCCCTTCCCGTCTTTTCCTGGTTTTCCCTTTATTTCTCACAACACTTACTTAACCTTCAACTATCCATTGATACAATCTACTAAATAGCCATGGTAAAAATCCTCCACAGAGAGCAACACAATCACTTTTTGTATGCCAGCTACACTCATGCCAGCTACTTTGCCTTATGCACATAATACCCTGTATCATGAAAGTGAAATGTTTATTACTGAGCAAGAATTGTTGCTGTACCTGGACCCACTACAGTTCTTAAAATAGAGTAAAAAATGCAAAAATGCATTACAATTTGCCTGTTCAGCTTTCTGATCTACACACTGACATTTTAACCACTTTAAAAAATGTGACATTAATTATTTAAAATTACTCTCTTTGCTGAGATCACCATGAATGGTAAAAACTCACAGTAACTGAAGGTGGCTTGCAATGCAGATTGCCTATTTTTATCCCTCAAGTGAGACCCCTGACAGATTTCATATAGGTCAGTGAACAGCTGTGAGATGCAACAAGCTTACTCGCTACCATACTGGGCTCAGGACGAACCAGGGGATCTAGAAAATAATTATCTCATTACCTCCTCCAACTCATGAGACTGGTCTTGAGCAGGTGTTAGGACTGTTTCTCAAAATGCCCAAGTAAATGCAGCAATTTTGGCAGGATGTTTGAGGCTTTCAAGGTCACATCAATCATACAGACTGCAGAAAAAAATTCTGTGCACAGAAATCTCTAGAAGAATGAACATTTCTTCCCCTCCCTTTTCCTGCTTATTTTCTTTGAATGCATAAACTGAAATCATTACTAAATATTTTATCTGTAAAGAATAAGGAAATAGAAGTGGCCTCATGAGTTCTCTCTGTTTTCTATTGTAGTAGGGAATATGGGGAGAATCTGTATATGACTGGACAAGAAATATTTAGGGTATTAGCTACAACAGATGTAGTGATGATCAGAATCTTGGATTTATGCTCTCTGAACAAATACATTGCCAATGAACTGCTTTAAGGGTATCTTGAAAACATTTACGCTTTACACGGGTATTATCTCCAAAGAGTGGCACAGAGCACAGCCAAAAGATTTGTACAGTGCCCAACAGTAGCTTTGAAAAACATCTGCCCAACAGCATACCTGGGAAGAGCTCACAATTCTTCTCTTGTCTTTGCACCAGTCCATACAGAGAACTTTATTTCCATGGCCCTTCAGGGTCCTCCTGGTCTTCATCACAAACTGGCCCAGTGCCTCCACACGTTCTGCCACCTGATGAACTGCAAACAGTTGATGGTTAGAGAGCTCTGCATCAAAGCTCTGCCCTGGCAAATCTCTACATTTATGAGTAATGTCGCTTGGAGGAATTAATCCATGAAGTTTGAGTCTATGGTGCAAGCCAACAAACTCTGCTTCAGAGCTGGCAGGTGGTAAAACCAAGGTGGGCACTGTATGAACCAGATAAAGATAAGGATGAGTTCACTGAGGGGTTGAATTCCAAAGCTGTAGACGCTGAAGCTCTTGCAAACCATCACAGCCAAGTATAACTGGAAAACAGATTACCTCCTTGCCCCCTCTTATTGGGAAATCCTCAATCTGACTGAGGCTTGAAAGTGCACAGACAGCCTCCAGTGTAACGAATGCCTCGAGGCACTCGGCAGAAATGAAGACCACCTACTGTGTCTTGGAGGAAAAATCATACAAAAGAAGGGGGTGAGCATCAAATCTCCAAAGTTCCAATGGTAAAACACTTGTGCTGGATGTGAGACTCCCAGCCACAGTCGGCTCTCAGCACCGCAGTGGTGGTGCAGTGTGATACAGGTACTAGCCACCAGTGCTGGAGGCTTCTCCTCTGTTGTGCCATCTCTTCTGGTGGCCAGGGGGGGCAATAAGATCCAGGACACATCTCTGAGTGAGCAGGGAAGCTTGGCATTTGCTGTAAGAGTGCGCTACCCAACTTCTCAACAGTGCCTACAGACATCGAGAACTTACTTCATGGGTGGGTCAGCTTTTTCTTTTATGGGAAAGAGAAACAGAGAGGGCAGGCAAGCAACTTTCCTGAGTAGCATCCTCTGGTGGAGGAGGAGTCAGCTCTTTCATACCTCATTTAATAGCGGTACTTTCAGCTGATATTGTTTAAAACCCAACAAATTTACATTTCCAATTGTGCAAACTTACTTTCACATAAAATTCATCCCACTGCAGCTAACACAACTAAAAGGTGTCTCATGTAACCCTGATGATGCATGCTGGGGTCATCTGCACATGCCTGGGAGAAAGCGTCATCTGAGGAAACCTATTTGCTCTGTTCCAACGTTGTTGACCGAGTGTGGAGCTGAGTAGGGCCACGATGTATCTTGGCACCCTCTGGCAGCTCTGACACACTTCACAAGGAGCATCAGAGATGGTGGGAGTTGCTTCAAGTCTCACAGCAGAGTAGGGGTCCTGGAGCAGGAGACCCTGGCACCAGAATTAAAAATTACTGCGTAGAGAAGAGCTAATAGGATCCAGCACTTCCCTGTGTTTGTTGTGTGTTTGTCCATGCTGAAAGCTAAGATGAACCAGCTGCTGTTAGCTAAGGGGGCAATACCTGGCTCAAACCTTTTGAAATAACTGCAGAATATCACGTGCTTTACCGAGCTGGTGGAGGAAACCTTAAGCTTTTCAATGCCATGCTGGAGACTGAGCTCCACATCCCACGTGGCAGTGACTGCTCTGGAGCTGCGCTGCTGCTTCACCTGTCACTTTTCTAGAGCTGCAAGAAAGCTCATGGGCTAGGGAGGGCTGTCACAGCGAGAGCGCAGGCAGCCTTAACTTTGAGATCATTCCCTGGCACAGGGTCAGGGGAGCAATTCCTGCCTAAGGCAGAGACTGATTCCTAGTGGATTAGCTTTTTAAGAGTTGTCTTTCAAAACCACCAGCCCCAAAGGCTGTGCCAGAATAATGTTCTCACCTGAAATCTCTGCTCGATCAGTCTCACCCAGCCAGGGGACAAGTGCTGTCCACCATTCCTGACAATTTGTCTGTACTATCGCTCTCAGAAACTTGCTTCTGACCTTCTGTTAAAGTACCATATAAACCCACTGAGGAAAAGAGACATTTTCCCCTACTTTTGCCCATGGAAACCTGCCAAATGATCCAATCAAAAGCCACGAAAACACAGGACAGGAGGTTATTATGGCAGCTGGAAAGATGCTTGCGTCCAGAACATATCTGAAAAAACAAACGTTTCACAGACAATGGGCAAAGTGTTTCTATTATGTCAATGCAGCCGAGACTCTGTGGAATTGTCTGGTTTAGCCTTACTGATTCTCTGAGGACGCTTATCTCCAACCACAGCCATACTAATACTGCTCCCGCCTAGCACAGGTTTTAGAGTCAGATAATTATTTTGAAGCATTCTCCAATATTGTTTCAAGATAGTTGAAAATTATGCACTCAGGCAAGTAGATCAGCTAAAGCCAATAAGTAGCTTGAGTGGTTTTACAAAGGTCTGAATAAAACAGGCTATTTTCCTAAAACATATTATTTGACCTGAACAGGAGGTGTGGACTTGATGCAGATACTGTTGGGTCTTTGATCTTTTCTGCGCTGGAAGGCAGTTGGTCCTATTGGTCTCTTCTGGCCTTAAAAATATATGGATCGCATGAACAGAACAAACTGTTCTATCTACACCCAAAATTTTAAGCGATAGAATTGAATCCTTAAGATTGTAAGACTGCAAATCAAGTGCACGTTTGGTATTTCCTTTTTCTATCCACATTTTTGAAAGCTTCTGTACAAAACCAGTTGAACAAATAAGGGCAATCCTAGTTCAGCCAGCTGTTTGTTTTGGGAACCATAGAGGGAAAGTCATGATCAGAGCAAAAAAATGCGAAAGATACAATTTTAGATTAGAAAAAAAAACTCACCCAAACCCAAAAAAAAACCCCAGAAGAGAGGCTTTATTCTGAAACTTGCAATCTCTGCAGAAATAGTTCTGGGGATAATTTAAGTGCAAAAAAGCTCTGATACAGCATCAATGATATAAAATATGAGGAAGTATTGTTCTACAGCAGCATAAGACTTGTGTCTTAGAAATCATGTCCTAGCTACGCAAACACGGCCTTCCAACGTAAGTTTACAGATTATATATGTGACAAAGATGTAAATATCCTATGACTAATAATGACACACACAGTTATGGCATCACTGCGATCATAGGTAAAACTCTCTGTGAGCAAAAATGGATTTAAGCATATGCTCTGTGAAACAGAGGCCCCACTACTCCTAATACAGAACTTATGCTGTAGGAATATGATGATTTATGGTGACGTTTCTGTAATGAGGCCTTCTCCATTTGTTTAATGATTCCTATTAATAGGACATTCATATAACATACGATTGTCTTCATATAACATATGATTGTCTAATTTAGACAAGAAAATGCTCTGTTTACTCCAGAAAAAAAATCTTTTAACCTTCTCGCACCTGAAATTTAAGAATGTTTGCCAGTCCCTCAGTCTTACAAAACACTAAGAGCTAAATCACTGGATATAGGCTCGAATTCCTCTTCAACACTTAAGGCATCAAAACAGATGAAATAAGTTTTAATGACCCACTTCTAATAAAGTGAGCTATATGATTTCAGGGGAATGCAGTGATTTACATGTTTTTCTCAAAAAAAAACACCCAAACCTGCAATATATTACAACATCGTAGTTATTAAAATGAAATAATAAAAATAAAAGGATTTTTATATGTCAGGACAGGATTAATATCTATCATTAACTTCTTATTACCTTATATCTCAGGACTGGATTAATACCTATTTGAGAAGCTTCACAAAAATAATGTTAGCTTATTTTTTCCTGAACGGGGGGGGGGGGGGGGGGGGGGGGTGGTGGTGAGGAGAGGCCAGGGTTGAAATCTGTGCATGTCATTTCTGTTACGTTAACCACGGATCTTGAAACTGCAGCTGATAAGGGTGAGTTACGCATTGACAGCTCAAGCCTTGACTCACCCCGCACCTCTGAATCAGCACTGGATCCCTGCAAGTTGTTTTCTTGGGGGAATGGCGGGGGGAGAAGGCGCTGTTTTGGGAAACAGTGTTCCTTTTTTAAGCCCTTCTACCTTGTGTTAAATCCTGGCCTCATTAAGGCAAATTCCCATCAACTTCCGCAAGGCTGGGCTTAATCTTTGTTTCTGCCACTAAGATGCGCGTTAAAACATGCAAATCAACCTCGGAATCCATAGGGGAGGGGGGGTATTTCATGCTCTCTTCCCACCTCGGCCTCCCCCAGCGGCAGTGTGCTAAGCCCCAGCCGGGCCAGAAGCACCCGCGGCCGGGGCGATG